CCTCTTGGTAATCAACCTGTAGCTTCTTCGTCTTCTTCATCAACATCTATAACATCTTCACCAAAGGTAAATAATAAAGTATATTTATTTCAAAATTTGATGTTTATATTTTTATTAAAAATGTTTTTTTTTTTATTAGCCATTAAAAATAAATGACGAAATTACCATAATACCACAACCACCTAAGATTCAAAATTTGTCTGTTAAAAGTAGTAATAGTAATAAACCAGTTACATCAGCTGGAAAACAAAGTTCAACACCGACAGCAAAGGCCAAAGTATGAAAATTTAAAATAGGTACTATACTATTTTCTACAAAATATATTTTTTTAAATTCACTTGTATAACAATATCCTACATTTTTTTGTTTCTTATCATATTTTTAAAACATAATATATGTTGTAAGAGTAACCTAACTACGAAAATAATTGTATGTAATAAAATTGTTGGATAATATCTCAATTGTAATTTATTTTAGTGACAAAAATCTTTGATGCCTTTGATTAAATTTGCTTTTTCATCTTTGATAATTTATTTATTTCGGTATATTGTAATTTAAAAAGAAATACCTATTAGCTCATAAATTCTTATACACATATATATATTTTTAGGTGTGAATGAAAAATAATGTGAAGATATTTGATTTTTAGTTTTGAAGAACATGAAAAATGTCAAAGGTTGTTGCTTACCCAGTTTATACAAGATATTTTTAATTTTATTAATATATAATCAGGTCACAAGAATGGCAGGTAACAATTCTATTCGAATTTAAGAATTCGCCAATTATAATTTTTATAAATATAATGAATATTATTATTGTTGATTTCAAAATTGTATTCTGTTTTATGATTATGACAAACAGTGTGTAGACCTATATTTAATTATATTTACCGAGATGTAATCTATGAATATACAATTTGTTATAAATATTACTAATTAGAAATAATTTTATATTAACGTTATTCCCCAGAATATTATGTATATTATGTATCATCTATCCATGACTGTAAATAACAGTATGTTTATTTTCTCAGTGGAGGTGTATCTATTATTTTTGTATATCAAACAATCAATTACACACTTTATTTAAGTTGTTCCCATCCTTTATTTATTTTATAATTATTAATTTTTTTTTACTTTACTGAAAGCACTTGTACTGTTTATATATATACATAATATATATATATGTTTATATATAAAAACGTATGAAACAATTTATTCTAACAATTAAATACTAGTTTAGATCAGTGTATAATTTGCCAATGCTATTATTGTACCATATTGGGTGTACATTAAAAATATAGAATAAGCCTATATTTCTGTACTATGAAATTTTATTTTTAATTGTTTCTTTTATTCAGACTAATCGGACTGATCGAATAACAAATTATTAAAGTTTGTTATAACTTAATAAATTACAATTATTATACTTAGGAGATTAAATTTTTTTTATTATATCTCCAATTAATAAATGTCTGAAATAGCTAAAAAAAAAAAATGTTTATATTTATTGATGATTTATAGTTTATACATTATACTCTTTTTGACATGTAATTCTTAACATATTTTAATTTAATTAAAAATTGCAAACCTAAAGAGAAATAATTATAATCTTGTGACATTTTTTATTTATTATTCAAGCATTGTTAAAACAGATAATAAGATAAGCTTATCCAATTTTTGAAACAATATATCAGTAGGATTAATATTCTTTACCCACAAATTACAAATTTGCATTGACTTAAACTCAAGAAATAAGTAGTTTTGTAGTGATTATCATTTGTTCTCGCCACAATAATATTATATTTTTGTAAACTTTTAGTTATTCTACATTTTTTAAGTTGAAAAGTACAAGCATACTATGAAAATAAATTAAACATTGGGGAAGTCAATTTACTGTTAGATGTTAATGGTGTACATATTCGTTGAGTAGGTCACTGTAATGGATGTATTAAATTTGAATTCAATGATAAACCATAAAAAATTATGGAAAATCATTCTGAGCAAAGATGGTATGTTAGCGTATAGACAGTACAGACATATTATAAATTAAAATACTCTTGACCAACTTTTAAGTTTATATTTATGCTGAGTTGCATTCCTATAAAACTATTTTAGTGGCACATGATTTGTCCTTTGAAATTGTACTGAGCTATTAAAAAATTAATCATCATTTTATGTAATATGGCATTAGAATGATATAGGTAGGTAGAATGTCTTGTGTATTAATCATTCATGCACGTCAGTGTTTAAGGACTATTCAGGCTATGCCCTCCCCCTTCAATGTGGTAAATTGTTATGTGTTAAGCTTTTTTCTGCACCCCAGAATGATACATATAATAATATTTTATATTATCGGACACATATGTAATTTGAAATATAGTAATATCAGGATCTGTAGAATTATTAAAAAAGTTTGGCCCCTGGATCCGTCCCCTCAACCATAATATTAACTGTAGGCTATGTAAGACCATGACTAGGAATGGCCTATCTATATGGAATATGGATGCAGTGACATGTGCAGGATTTTCCAATAGAATTTTAAACAATTATTTTGTCCAGTCTAATAATTCCAACGTTAAGATGAGACATTTAAAAATTGTTGTAAAACTTTTCTTATAGAAGAAATGCTCTGATCATAAACTAATCTTGATATAGGTTTTTGGAAGCAAATTGAATCCAGTTGTTACTTTTGAGAAGTCAAAATTGAAAATTCTCGGTACTTTTTAAAATAATCGAGAAAAACAGAAATAAATAAATAAAATTTTGTTAGGTGTAGGTAATCCTGATTAATTTTAGTTTTTTTTTTTAATGTCAATAAAAATTATACATTCGGCCAAAAAGCTTAAAAATATAAAACAAGGTTCCCCGTAAGTTTTTATTATTGGTACTTAAACCAATATTAGCGACTTCGCACAATACTGAAATCGCCTTCCTCCATCACGAATCACATACGACTATCTTTTTGTCACGCAAAAGGCAAAGTAGGTGATGTAGAGATCTATGCAACTATCAGACTATTCTACAAAAACAATTTCATGAAAAAAAAAATGTTTACGCTATATGCAAGGATGTTATGATAATATGAACTATGAATATGAGACGCGTTTAGATGTAACGAAAAATGTGTCTGGTAAGGATAGTGGTATAGATTTTAGTGTCTGCCGACTGGTTGTTAATCCCTAATGGGATTTCCAGTTTACCGCCTAGCACTATGAAGATTTCCACTTAACAGCCCAATTAATGGATGGAAAAAGGTTGCTTCTAACTCTTCAACCGTCATCAAAAACTTTCGGAGCAAAATAAAAATATTAACGATGAATAAGCACAATTTTTTTTACAAGCATTTAAAGTTCAAATTTTGACAAAACCACAGTTAATTTATTGTTAAAAGTGTATAAAAAAAAATTTGGAACATCTAAGGCTTGACAATTTAATACATGGCCTTTATTATACTAGCTTAAACTAGCTTAAGCAGAAGCTCTATCCTTTGTATATTATATCTGAGTTCTATTAGATAGTATCTAAAGCCGTAGTCTATTAATGACTATTATAATCTGAGACCGTGATCCATGATCCACGATTTACGATAGTATCATGGACATAAAACCATAAAACAATTAAAATAACAATAAAATATAATATAATAGAATATTAGAACCTAATTTATATTTTATATATCTATTATACTATCACTGTGGCTATGGATAGTACTATATTATGTCTACATAACGGTTTAAGATATATAAAAGTGTGTTACTGTATTTATGTATATCTTGAACCGTAGTCTAAATGGTTCTATCTAAGTAGCTACGAATTGTGGAATAAAAATCCCCGACCCTAGGAAAAAAATCCACAGACTACAATATAACTCACAAACACATGCAAATTACTGAAAAAATATTTTTTTAAACGCTAATTATTGTAATAACTAATTACCATCATTATTAATATTTATAACAAATATATAAGTACTAGTAATATTGTGTTTTTATTCGAAATATTTGTGTAATATGTTTCGTAACTTTGAGTATCTAAATCCATTAGCTATTGTTTGATAGTTATTCTAATTTTTATTTTACAAGATATTAAATATTTCTTCTATACAAAGTGAAACTAGTTAAAAACGCTTCCTAATAATATAGTTTTTACATAATGCATTCTCGTCGAAGTATTATAAGAAACGTAATATTTTAAATATTCAGACGTTTTAAGTATATATTATTACTACACTATGAGTACATATTTGTAATTAAATATTAATAATGTTGATAATTAGAGTTGTGAAAAATATTTGTTCAATAATTTGCATGTGTTTGTCGGTAATATATTAGTCAGGTGATTTTTTTCCGGGGTTGTTCGCCGGAGGACTTGTATTCCGATTACCCCCAATAACACGGTAACACGGTTAAATGTGTGGTAACTTAACTTAACCAACCAATCACAACAAAGGATTTGTATGCACGTACACACGTACGTGTATAGTGGAAACCACGATTTAAGATATACCTTAAATCGTGGTGGAAACCCGCCTTCATAAAAACTGGAATGATATCACAGAATAGGGCAATAGGCATACCCATGATAGACCTTATACCCATGAACTAAGATATCTTAGTTCATGCTAATACCACCATGTAGAGAAGACATCTCCTGTGTTACCGTAGGGATACGTAAACCCACACAGCAGACCTAGTGTCTATTCTATATTGTTCTGTGCTTATGCCTTAGGGCATAGACCACAGATATAAAAATATATAAATTTTTTTATATATCTGTGGCATAGACGGAGCTGCATCTAGCCATCTAGGAGTCCTACGGCATAGAGTATTATTACTTATTATTATTACTCTATGTCCTACGGTCTTAGATTAGTATCACCTATGATTCTGTGATGATATCGTCCGGTATCTCATAGTCGGATAATCTCAAGGCTCTGGTAACTTACTGGTAACCACGACGGCACGGCCGGCTAAACCGTTGCTATGTTCATGCCCGTCAAACAAAAACAAACGCGTTCCGCCATTTTGTGCGCTTCATGCCTTCATACTTCATAAGAGAACGAGGCGGCGTTTCGTTGTACGTCTGATCTCCCAGCGTCCGTACTTCGTACTCGGTAGTCAGTAGTCAATTTCAAATCATTATTAAAACACAGCGTAGTGTACTCGTGTGTTATACAACGTTGAACCGGTCACCATCGAAGAAGTACCTACGTGAGCTCATCGATCGTGTAGCTGTCTGTTAACAATATATTCTACAGGGATTATGTGTTGTTGACGTTAAGACGTGCGACACAGTTGCCCTTTTTAAAATATAATTTCATCACAGTCGTTATCGAAAACCGTCAAGCTGTCGACTAACGCGGTATCGGAAATGGCGTTGAGCACAACGGCCAGCCAACCGGTACAGAATAACGTCCAATCGTCTCCGGGATCCGGATGGCCCAGGCGCACTGCACCAGTCAAGTCGTCTACGTGCCCGTCGCTCAACAGACATATAAATTTGTTAGTATATATTCGTTAGCTAGGATAATTCCGAGACAACTTTCCGGTGCTCCAGAGGGAATTCTATCCTTTTTTCTTTACTAATTATAGTAGTCATCAATTGAACATTAGAAAACTATTGTGTGTTAAATTAGTTTGTAGTTTAACTACAGGATAATGATAGCCTATAATAACTATATAATGACTAGTATGATTGCGATTAGGCATACTTATAACATAATAAAATAGAATGAAAACATTTGTTCTTGGTTTTGTTGGGTGTTTGTGTGGGTATTTGTCTATTGAATAATAGTAGATCAAATTCAAAATTAAAGCAACTGTTTTTTTAAATTGTATCATAACTGTGATAATTCATTTTTAGCTTCTTACTAAAAACAATTTGAGTGGGTTTAAAAACTTTATGCTTAATAATCAATATTTCTTTTGTTTTAGGTATCCTCTATCAAATTATAAATTTGGTACAAAAGAACCTTTATTTGAAAAAGATCCTTCAGTACCAGCTAGATTTCAACGAATGCGTGATGAATTTGAAAAAATTGGCATGCGCCGTAGTGTTGAAGGCGTTTTAATAGTTCATAAACACGGGTTGCCACATGTTTTATTATTGCAGTTGGGCACAACATTTTTTAAATTGTAAGATTAAATGAATATTTTAATTAATTACAATTATGACATAGCCAAATGACAAGAAACAAAAATATATATCATTAATATATTTCAATACTTGACAATATTTATAGAATTTATAATAATCTTTTTTTAGGCCTGGTGGAGAACTAAATCCAGCAGAAGATGAGGTTGAAGGACTTAAGCGATTACTAACCGAAGTAACTTCATATTTCCTTATTATTAATTGTTTATACTTCAAAACATTTGAAAATATTTTTATTGCATTTACTTTTGTCAGACTTTAGGCAGACAAGATGGTGTTCAGCCAGAATGGACTGTTGAAGATACTATTGGCAATTGGTGGCGGCCCAACTTTGAACCTCCGACTTATCCATATATACCACCACACATAACTAAACCCAAGGAACATAAAAGACTTTTCTTAGTTCAGCTACCTGATAAAGGTAAGATAAATTAATAGTGAATCTTAGTCCCAAGATTTGTGAGTATAAGCCTAATGAGATATTATTTTATCAATTAGTAATTTCTAAGAATACAATTATTATGAGGGTTATTCTTTTTTTTCCTAAGGTTTAATTTCTAAATTTATTATTTTATGTTTTGGGTCATAGTTGACATGCTCTGAAGTTAAATTTGAGTATTTTCTATTTTTAACTTACGTGTATATTACATCACCTAAGACCTGTGTTAAATTACATTATATTATTTTATATTTCACAGTTTGCAATGGCAACATGATTTGCTGGTTCAGAAAGGATCATCCTGGTTGATTGTAAAACATCACATACAAGAAATGTATTTTTTTTTATGAAAATTGTCTAGGAAAATTCATGATAGGGATTCCTTATAAGATTATTGTTCTAATCACTGTTGTGTATTTTACATCTGATTTTAAATCGGCTGAAACTAAATACCTAAGGAAGGGGTTTTAACTAATGTTAATATGATAGTAAAATAACTTATGCACTTTCAGAATGGGATTGAGTGCATTGTACATGTAATTTCTATTATAACTAATAATTATATTCTTGGGGATAAAAATTTTTTTCTTATTTACAAGGTGTCATAAATCCTTTATAAAATTCCGTAAAATATGAAGATTTGTTTAAATCACCCCATAACACCAATTTCCAGATTTTTATTCACAAGAATCAAAGTAACTAATCTTCTATGCGCAAAGAATATTGAATGTTACTTTTTACAATTTTAAAGGTCATTTAGGGTTTATAATAATTTGGTGTAAATCTTAAGTTAAATTTGATGTTGACACTCTGTAATATTTATTTTTGTATTCAAATCAAACTTGGTGGGATGACTTTATTTGAGTTTTGTTAACATCTCTTTGTTTATAGGTTGTATAAATTAAAATATTTAAGTATTCACTATTTTCATTTTCTGAAATTTTATTATGAGAATGCGATAAACTGATTTGTTGTATTATATGTAAACCATAACAAATTTACACTTTGCGTAATAAAAACTTTAGGGTTTAGGTTAATACTTAATAGAATGATATACCAAATATTTAATTTAAGAACAAACATCATCATGTTCTGTCACCACTTTTTTTGTAATATCTTAATTCTAAATTATGATATTTGTGTCAAGAAAATGTGGTTCTTTATTTATATTGTGTTCAGAATTAAAATATATACAGAACTAAAAAACTGTAATACAAATGATTTCTTTATGATGATATTAATCTAAACCCTACAGATTTGTTGAAATGAAACATTTAAATTGATATGATTTACACTTATTCATAAACCACAAGAATGTCATGTCTTTTTGAATGTACAGTTATAATATTCAATTTAGAATATTAAGAATTGCATGTTATTAGATTCTGACAGAAAGCAAAACTAACAACTATGTTTACTGTGTATCTCGTTTTGTTTTAGTAGTTAAATTATTATTTTTGTTGCAATAATACTATTTATATTATGTTCTAATTTCCCTTTATGAGCTATATGTTAAAATGGTTAATAATTAATAAATAAAGAGTAGTGTAATAATATGTATTAATTATTAAAACAAAAATTAATATGTATATTAATTGATATCGGTGTAGTAATAATTGATTGGGGGTTTATTTTGTCAATACATTATTTTAAAATATCTAATTATGTGTACACGATTTGTAATGTTTTAAATAAAATTATTACATTTAAGATTATTTATCAAATCAACTATTTTTCAATTTAAATATTTAATGAGACCATTGAAAATTAAAATTGTCCTTAAAGTATTAAAAAAAAGTATTTATTTATAAACATTTTTACTTAGCCGTTGTTGGCATATATGTTTGTTAAAAATAATGTCAAGTGATTTTTTAAATATAGTAATTTCGTCGGCAGTTAAAATAATGTTGTATTAATTCCAATGTTGTATTTGTAAGCATTTCAAAAAATTCCATTTAAATTTTAAAAATACAATTTAAGAACTATTGTACAAAGTTGTCATTCAACATCTGCTTATCCTTAAATTTTATTATGTGCATTTGTTCTATACAGATGTTTTTAAATGAACATTAAAATCAATTGTAAAATTATATATAGGTGTAAATTGTTACTCTTTTTAATTGAAATATACTATTTTATGTATTAAATTTATTGATTCATTTGTAAATTCAATAACATAATGTAATCAAACTTTCTGTTTATAAATTGTGTGGTAATTTGATTGTTCTTTAGCATTGTTTGCTGTGCCGAAAAATTACAAATTGGTGGCAGCCCCTTTGTTTGAGCTGTTTGATAACGCTCAAGGATATGGATCTATTATTTCCTCATTGCCTCAAGCACTTGGAAGGTAATATTATTGATTGTTTCATGTATTTAATACTATTAATAATTTTACTATTTTTACTAACATATATAATTTTTTTTCAGATTCAACTTCATTTATATGTAATTTAGAACTTAGCTGTAGGATATTTTAAACATTTGCTGCCCATCAATCGTTGAACAGATTTTTCTACGATTTAATGTAATTGTAAAGTAGATTTATTATCAGTAAATTGTATTGAATTGAGAAATTGTCTGACCATTTGAAACTATTACATACTATCGTCACCATTTTATGAAATATTATATTTACATATATACACCTAATGTTTTAAATTATTGTTGTGGGTTTGTAAGTGATTTATAGCCATTGATTTTTGTAAATTACCCAATTACCCAATTAATCACAGTTTGATACTGTATTAGAATTTTAAATATCTATCTTAATTTTATTTTCATTATCGTTGGTTGAATAAATACATCGAATCAAATTCTCTGTACTGTTTTATAATAATTTGTGTTACAGATTAACTGGTTATTATTGTTCTATAATAAAATTAATATTACACATCAAAATTGCTGTGCCGGTATTTTAATAGATAAACACTTGTTTTTTTTCCGTTTTATTTATTAATACAATATTCATTGATCTTATAGTTTCAAACTTTGTGATTAAATGACTTGACAAATTAATTTATTATTTTCAACATAGCATTTCTTCTTCTTATACTGACTGCCCTAGTTAGACCCATGGTCCTACCTGAAAATTCCTGGCCTGATCTTAAACATAATATTTTGGTTTTGTATCATAATTTAAAAAAAAATTTAATTGTTTACTTAGGTACTAAAAAATATGTAACTAACATAAATATACTACTATATTTTAAACAATTATACTATCTACAACCTACTTTTATTTATAATTAATTATATTACCTAAGATAATGGTCCTTCGTATTATATAGGATATTAATATATATTTGAAAGATGTATAATGTGTATTTACAGGGATTAACTAATCATGCTAACCCCCTTTTTCTTCAATAACGTTGTCATTCAAAATTCTTAGAAATGGTTTTGTCCATAAGTCAACTTTTTGTACAAATGATATTCTATGATGATGGGTGTGGAAACTAGGTATAGATATGGTGGTTTGAAAAGTTTAATTAATAATGATATATCAATATTTATAGTTTTTGTATAAATGGTCCAAAACCAAAGTAATAACTGAGATAAATGTCTCATATAAGTAAATTTACATAATCCAAAAATCTAAAAATATTTGAATGAATAAATTATTTAAGGAAAAGTGGGGGTGAGCATGTTCGGGTTAATCACTCTGTATAAGTTATTTTCAAAATTAACCTTCACTGTAATCGTCTTATATTATTTACTTGTGCAGTAGTGCGATTAGTGTGTATTGACGTAATGTTGATTTTCTGTATTGCCTGTAATCTGTATTATTTTTTTTATACGTCTGTACCTTATACTGTGTATATTGTGTTTTATTTTGTCTAAAAAAATATGTCAAACAGAAATAACATAACCGATTTCTTCATTCATTCAAAAAAAGTTATCATAATAAGCTCATATTAAGGCCCAGTGCTAAAATTTTATTTCTGTGGTCCAACCCTATAATATTTAACTTTCATAATATTGTTGGCCTCCTACTGGCCTTACTTCCTGGCTCCACGCCACTGCACCATTTATAACTGTATAACTCTAAATTTAAAACAATAAAATAATTCAAACTTCAATATAAAATAAAATAATATCACTGAGTATAATGGGTTTCGAAAAATATTTGTTTTTCTAATTTTGCTCCAACAATCCGATGACGACGAATGTGATTGCTTCACTATCGTTACTTTTTATTATTTCTTGATTGTGATTTTTCTTGTGTACCAATTTGTTATGACCAGAATATTGCAGGACCCTAAATCTAACATTTTTAATTAGGTACCAAAATATGCCATATAATATGTGAGTACGCGAAAAATATGAATACAATTTCAATTATTTACATACCAAATTTGTATGTTTAAATATTATAAAAATGTATTTTAAATTAATACATTTTTTATGTATTATTTATGATTAAAATGAACAACAATATGCAATGCCAGTTTCAAGCGCACCGAGTGGTGAGTCGATTAGATGGGTATGCGGATAACTGACTGACATAGCAAAAGTGATTATGGTTATAATATATATATTATATAATATTATTATTATTATATATTATTATATAAAGTTTAGGCCGTAATCGATTATTCGATTAGTTATCTCTTATTAATACTATATTTAAATTTTATTTTGATTCTTCTACTTGACAAAATATTATTTTAAACCTTTTTTTTCTCTTCAATATGCATTACATTATGAATTTCATAGAAGTATACAAAAAAATTTCGGTAGAAACCACAATTTTGTATGATTCGTAATGATTATTGACAAAAATCCAAAAATGTATCAAAGAAAAAAAATATGCTATTGCATGAAAATCCGCACTCTTCTAATAAGCTATACTTATGTTATACGTTTCATTAACATATTTTATTCTATTATGGGGAAAAACATTTTTTACAAATATTAAGTTTTGAGCAAAACGTACTGTAACCTAACCTGCTAACCATACAGTGGCTTCCATTACTTGTCGTTAAACTGTGTCATAATTAATATTTCCATAAATAATAACATGAAATTTATTGTATTTGCCTGTTTAAATAACTATTTCTTTTACCTCAATAGATTTAACTTTTTTATATAGGCACTCGCGCTATAAGTAACTACTGTATACAATTTTTGTTTTTTAATACTGAATATTTAAAATGTTTCTTAATATGTTTTTCGAAAGTTCAAAATAGCCCATTTGTAAATGTAAGTTTCCGGTAGACATTTTTTTAAATTTTTAATACTTAGATATAAAAAGAAATTTTTTTATGAATTTCTGACTAAATATATTTTTCTAATTTTCTTGAATTTTACGAATTTTGTCAGAATTCTAAATTTAGACGTTCTTAAAAAATTACTGTGGATTTACGCTCCATTTTTTTTCAAATTTCTATTGACAACTCACTTAGGAAACGAGTATTACAAATACAAGTTTTTTGACAGAGTGAAAATTCTTTTATCGACTTTAGCTTACAAAAAAAATAATAATCGAACATTGCTACGCTTATAAATAGTTCAACACAAATCAAAATATTGATATGAACATTTTATGGTGTATAGAAAATGCTTACAAAAATATTCAGTGAATATTTTACGTATCAACGGTCATATTTGTTAGAGTTACATACTCTAAAAACCAAAATCGATTTTTTCGAAAAATGGTTTTGCGTAGAAATTCCCGTTTTCCTTAATTTTTTGTTTGTTTTTCCTGTTGCTTTTGAAAACTATTGGAAATTTTTAATTTTTACCTTCCGATTGCACCAACTAGATTCACTTTCCAACCAGAAAAGTTGTTGTTGAAGAAAATCGAAGAACTTTTACTGCAAGAAACCGGGATGACAGAAAAAAAAATTTATATAAAAACACACATCATTGTAAAATCAATATACATTCATATTTTCGTTCAGAATCCAAAATAATTTACAATTTATCGGGATTTTGTCAGGACCTTTAAATATAGGTATGTATGAACAAGCGGGAAAGTGGTAACGCTCTGCTGTACAGTATACTTTTAGTTTAGGTGTCTAGAAAGTCACTGTAATGGATGTGTTAAATTTGAATTCAATGATATGAAACCATTGTATAGGTACGAAAAACGATTTTGAGCAGATGGCTTGTTAGCCTGTAATATTACCAAGTTTATTTTACGATATTATTGTGGTAAGATAATTAAATTTATTATTAGGTAAATTTAATTAATTTTGGCCGGAAAAATTGCATTTTAAAAAGTCATTGTGTGTATAAAATAAAATAATATACTCAAAAAGTGTCTTATACACTATACACAAGAATAATCTTTCTAAGTTACAACAAAATAACTAAAACTGTTGTTCTTGGTTGTAATATATAATTTCTTCCAAATTTGTAATTTAAATAAATAAAACAAATAACTGTTCGTATATTTTATAAATTTTTTGGTTACAGTATGAACTATTTATGAGAATTTTTTATGAAATTTTCAATCCTAAGATAAAAAACATTGAATATTTTAGAATCTTAAAACTATAAAATAATTTGAAAATGTTCGAGGTTTTGATAAATGATGTCAAAATTCGAACTTTAAATACTTAGGTATACTAAAATATATGGATAATTAATGTTTCTCAACTACTGTTATGACTACTTATGACTTGTGAGAAACCTTGTATTAAATTTTCAAGCATTTCATTTCTAGAAAAAAAAATTTTAAATTCTATCGTAGAAGGAAAATCATAAAATGAACATTAGGCCAAAATCAAGTACCAATAGGATTATAAGTTTTTTAACAACTAAATACGTAAATTGTTGCATGAGAATTTATTAATTTATGGATACATATATAAAGTCTAACTCATTTTTATTAAATATAGGAAAACTGAGGGATTTCTTGTATATTTTTCAAGCTTAGATATAAATGGAACATTTTCTATGAATTACTAAATTGAAATAATTTACTAATTTTGTTTTTTTACGAGCTTTTTAAGAATTAACTTTAGACTCTTATGAAAATGTATTGACAATGTACTCTAATTTGTTCTATAAATTTTCCATTGTTGAGGAAAGTGCAGGTAAACATTTTCAAATTTTTGGCCCAGTTAAATTTTTTTATCGACAAAAATTAAAAAAAAAAATTAATACCCAACATTTTCTTATGCCTATTAAAAAGAGTTGCAATATTTTAAAAACTGTATGGTACATAATAATTTCTAAAATAAACATTCAGCGAAAATTTCATGTATCTACGATTATTTTTTTCATTAAAAAGTAAAATCTAAGTTTTTCCTTAATTTTTTTGTTTGTTTCTCCTGACGCGTTTAAAACTATTCTGAATTTTTTTGGATTTTTTCAGCCAAATTTGATTTAAAAGTTTTTCCTCTACCTTGTTTTAAAGACAATTTTTATAAAATGTACTACTTCAGCACTTTTAGAACCAAGGTTAGGATGAACTTAAAATGTTAGTTCTTATCTTATTTTACAACTAGCTGTGGACTAAGAATCCATAAACTATTTGAATTTACATAACCAATATAATAATAATGTACACAGTTACATAATAAGGTAGCTTGACTTGCAGATCGCCTGGGCCGCCGATATATGGCTCAAAAGATGTATAAATATATCAAATATGGTCCAGGACTCGAAGAAGGTTCCGGCCAGGTCTAAACTATAAGATCTATGGTCACACTATATTCTTAAATATAACCAACAAAATGCATTATGTCAATACAGATTTTTTATTACACTTACTAAGATAATAATAGATGAACACATAATATTAAATTTATCATAAATAATAAATAAGACTGATGTGTTACTGAATGTCATTATGAAGTAAATCTAATGTTTTTTAACTTCTAAAAATAATAGTGGTAGTCTTGCAGTTTAATGAAATTATATTCACAAAATAATACAAACAATTGTAAACATACATTTAAGTATAATACATAAATATATATATAATTATATATTAATTGTTATGATAAAAATACAATGATATTGTCGTTGACCAATTTTAATAATATTAAATAGCTACAGTACAATGTTTATCAATTACAATAAGTTAATAATTAAAATGTATATAAACATATTTTGCATTAATAAATAAATTATACAGATTGAACGTTCAAGAAATTATTGTCCTTGTTTTTTTAATGTTCACAGTCTCGTACTTAGTTTATTAGAAGAATATTTTTTATACAATGATAATAATGTAACATCTTCATTGTAATTAATCATTCAGTTTGTGTACAATCAATAAATTATAAACATAAACATTTGTTCAAGTTGCAACTTTCCCATTTATAACAAGAAGATTCTAATTCAAAATCCACAATCTATATATATATAATGTTATAATTACAAAACAAGTTTTAACAATTCTAGCTAAGTGTAATAAGTTGTAACATCTATATGTCTTTTGAACACCAAGTTAACATCTAATGACATAAAATACAACTTAATAATAATGTAGAAGTAGTAGTTACCATATAGAATTATTAAAAATATATTATATATTAATTTATAAGACAATCTAAAGGCATTTATTAAAAACAATTTTATTTCCATGTCAAAATACACTTCCTTTTTCTTTCATAAAATAAATTGTTGTTTTTAATCATATTATCTCTATTTAATACATTTCGTATTTGTTTAGTCAACCGGCAACATTAAATATAACTCATTTAATATATACATTTTATTCACTTGTGCAAAATACAAAAAGTATGGAATGTATTACGTCTTATATTTAAAGAGAGCATTCAGTTACATAATGATGGCGTCCGAAAAAAAATGTTTTTTCTCTAACAAACAACATTTAAAATACACAATAAAACTCATTATTTACAATTCATCAAAATGACTATGAAATCATTTTAATTAAAACAAAAACAA